GCACCTAGATGACGACAATGACGATGGGCCGCATTCCTCCAACTCCACTAGACCAAGGCCTGTAGCCAGTTTAACTACAAAAGAAGATGACGACTGGAACATGGCGCTCGAGGCGCTGCGGGATCGTGCGTTGTGGAGGCGGAAGGGTGCAGATCGTCTTCGCGAAGCTGGGTTTGATGCGGGCTTTATTAATAAATGGGCTGGCAATGGGGCGTTTGCGGGGTTGGATGGTGGCGGGGGTCACAAAGATACACGTAGGGATGAGGATAAGGATGTGGGAGATGTGAGGTGGGCGAAGAAAGGGGAGAAACGGGAATGGGACCGTGGCAAAGTTCTGACGGATGATGGGCATGTTGATGTGAGACCCGAATGGTAGTCGAAGCGTGAAAGGGTTTCTGGTGGTAGAGCCGATTGTCTATGGCTGATCTACACCTTCCTGAGCGATGCCATCATGTTGCTTTGTTTGGTTTTCCATTATTATCTTTGATATTGCACTTGCAGCTTGGGTCATTAAAGTCTATTATCATCCTATGTAAATATTGTCTTCATTTCGTATATATGTTACACTATGCAAGTGGTTTGGGGTGTACGAAAATCTAATATACATGTACGTCTATGTTCCCTGTCAATTCCATTCCTCTTTCTACCTTTCCATTCCCGGCCTGTAATCACCACATGTCATATAATGCAAAAGGGCCACTCATGCAAAACATCCTTTTTACTCTTTTACATTTGTAGACGGCGTTTCGTATATGTGTATACCCACAAGACATCGCCAAGTCCGTGGCAGAGGCCAGATTCGGGTTTCAGCAATTTTTGTCATTTATGCATTGAAATTGTCGGGATAGCTGAGCTAGGACAAAGGTTATGATGATGGGGAAGAGATTAGAATGGAGGAGCGGGGTAATAAACAGTGAGTGGTAAAACGGAGACAGGTGAGAAGCTTACAAGGTGCCAGTTCAGGAAGTTCGCGGCTAGTGAGCCAACCAAGCCATTAACAAAGATTAAAGTCCAGAGGATATCACCATCTATGTAGATATGTGGGGGGTGGATACAGTATATCAGGTATAGCTTCTTGAGGTGCTTTTAAAGTTTTTGGCGTACATAGAGGAGATAGGGGGAAGGGGAGAGGTGTATATTGTTCTTTTCTCCTTCTCATGGCGATGAACGGCATGAACGAAGTAGACAGTAAAATATGGCTAAATTATAAGGATGGGCTGTAGGAGGGTATAAAAAATAAACAAATCGATCAATGAGCAAAAGGTAAAAATGGGGTAAGCGGCTAATTGAACTTCGGGAAGGCATATGAAGCGAGGAACGATAAACAGGACAAAACACAAAACGCACAATATCGGGACTAACAAACAATCCATTTTCGAAGCCTTCTCTCCCAATTCACTCATTCTCCCATTAGATACCTTAACAAGTCATGGTTCTATCAACAACCATCCGGTCTATTTAAGACGTTCCGCCGTCCTCTTCACTCGTATTTTTGCCTTCAGAAGTTCGGATTGAAGTGCGTGAGGGAGGGATTAGCTGCAGGTGGAGGAAAGAATATTATAGCAAGTAATTTCGTGAATTGTTATCAGCATATTCAACGCTATCAATCTTCGGTCATATTGTTGTAATCATCATATGTTATAGCTGGATAATTGCCGTTTGTAGTCCACACTGTGTGTGCTGCAATCGAGGCTGCGCAAAAAAGGTGTGGGTCCCGTCTTCTCTAGCAGGTTTTGATAATTCAAAAATTGTCAATGAAAACTGAAGTATTCCCGTTTATTCCACATGGTCGTGAGGTTTCACCGACTTCATCGCAAGTCATAACAAGTGAGTAAAGATCAAGGATATTTTCACGGCTCTATGTTTCTTAGCAACTGTATCCTGTATCGAACTGTTGGCTGCAGATGACCACTCCAATATCAATGATTTCTGGTCAGAAAAAAAAAAATCAAAAAAAAAAAAAATCGAAAGAAAAAAGAAAAAAGAAAACGATCATTCACCCTCTCATCCTTCGTCGGTGCCAAAAGCGAGCCGTGTCAGAATCGAGATGAATATTAGCTTGTTCCATAGCCGTCAACAAGCGCAGTAGCGATCCTGGTGGTTGTGGAGCAGCAAATTCTGGAGGTCTAGGACCGACTGTCGTGTTCCCTTCGGCGGGGGAGGGTCCATCATTATGATCAGAAATTCCCAGGGTTTCTTGGAGTGTGTTGAGATTCACCTCGTTTGCAAACTCTACCAGGCCGCCCAGCAATCTAGCCCAATGAATTAATATTTCAGGGTCCACCACCAATACGCTTGGAAGGCGGAATTGTAGTGTCTTTCGTGTAAACTGGCCATCGGGTGGTGGAGAGTCCCGTTTGTTCTGATTTGTGCCGGGGATGTATTCTCCTGTAGCATCCAGATGTGAGGAGAAGTCATATTTAAAGTAATAGTGCTTAGCCGGCTGCTCTGATTCGGGAAGCTCTGGGTTAAAAGCACAAATGAGTGACTGCATATCGGGGCATGTATTCAGGAGATGAGAGGCTAGAGTGGCACGCGAGAAGTCCTCGGGAACATTTGGAGGTTGAAAGTGAGGGCTTCTTAGCGGAGAAACCCATCGTTTCTGTGGTTGTGCGTTAGTACATGTACAAAAGATCAAAAACTGATATATACTAAGAAGGAAAGATGCCCTAACAGGATTATTTGGGTGACAGATATATGTGGGGAGCCGAACCATTCGGTCGAGCTCCGGTTCGTATACTAGTAAGAGCATGGCAAGGTTGCGAACCGCGCGGAAAGGAAAACCTGCAGTGGCGTTCTCGCTGTTTCCGATAAGGATATTGAGGCTCGTACTAGGGTTATACTCTGTATACATGACTCCGTGCCGCACAATGGGAACATATTGTTCCGATCTTTGCGAGAATACCCGTTGAGCATCAGCTTCCCATCCAGGCATATAAAGAGGATATGGTGGGGAAATGATTTTGATAGGTTGAGTTACATCTGCGGAAGGTTAGTAAGGTTAGTAACGTATTCCAGATTCAACAAAAAAAAAAATTTAACAAATAAGGGAGGATAGTGTATGACTCACAAGCATCAAACCATTCAGGGTGATTTGGTGATACGGTTGGATCCGTTGTCAAAGTCCAGCGTTCACTGTCGACACCCTGATGAGGATCATCATCTATGTTCGATATGACTCTGACTGGTCTTCGTTGTCCTCCAGGACCTTGGGGTTGAACCCGGTCAAGACGTGCTCCTAAGATGTGGGCTAGAGTGTCACCGGGGTATGTGCTGAAGGTGGTAGCTCTCATCGCTGTAAACAAATTTGCCTCCACGATAATGGAGAGAACCATGTTTTCAGGCTGTTGTTGAGACATTTCGAGAGGGGCTATGGCGTAAACTCTGCAGGAAATATAAAATTTCGGAAAAGGGTCATAATTGAACGATGCGAAAATTTATTTGTTGAGTAATTGAGGTTGATTCTCGAACAGGTGATGTAGATTTCGAGATTATAATAAGCATTGATGTGTGCGTGGTGAGGAAAATGATCTCCGTGAGATCGACAAAGGAATATGCATGCAACTGTTTTAAATCGGCAGAAAGAATAGGTATGAATTGTGGCTCGCGAGGCAATGAGTTTTAAGGCAACTCTCTCTGTTGTTTATTCGGTCCGTAGGCTGATTCGAACCTCAAGGAGCCTAGATTTCTGTCTTCAATTCAATGTTTCTCGTCTCCGCAAATTGCCATCAAAAAGTGAACTAGGGCATATATTATTCACTTGGCCATCCACGACCAACTGAGGCAAGAAATATGAGTTAAAAATTTTGAACTGACCATCGCATGCCAACCACTTTGCTGACGAAAGAACACACCTATGCCCGCGGCCACACAAGAGAAAGTGGGAGTCTTTTATCCAGTGAACTTCCGGAATATCAGCGGGGATCTCGCAGGATCTAGCCTTTCATGACACTTAGGAGCTGATTTGCAGCCTGATGGGCATTGGAGGGAAGCGACTGGCTTTGGGTGACGAGATCAGGTAGGGATGCGTATGATGGACAAGTGGGATGAAGGGCCCAACACTCTTAAGCGCGGCAAAATGCGAAATTTTCTTTTGTTCAATATGTGTTGTTGTCAAAACAGTCGATCTTTGGATGATCCAGCAGATCAACGACCTTTGAAAAACCAGATTCCGTTTTTATAAGTTTTCTTTTTCTATCTTTCGTGCCACAAATCCCACAACGCAACCATAAAAAATAAAAATAAAAATAAAAAAAGAAAAAAGTTGCAGCACAAGACGCAAAACTTAGCTATCGAGTGACTTGTGGGAAAAAGTCACAAAGTATCCTCTGTCAGATCAAACCCAACGGCCGAAAGAATACAGCGTGCGTTAAGAGGACAGAAATCGACGGCAACAAACACGGGAAGACTTGAACAGTTGGACATCAGGATGTCAAGCCTCAATTTGTGTTTCCCACGTCGAGAAAAGCGGGGAGAGGGTCTAGAACTAATATACAGCGACAAATTATTCTTAGACAGCCAACGCAGCCGCCTGCATATCATGCAATGGAACAGTCCAGTAATAAGAGGCCAGAGAACAGCGCCCTCATAAGGCACTGCTGAGGTGCCAAGGGTGCCGTAGGGCCCCGGCGCCGCTGGTAGTGGATTCTTGCAGGAAACGGACCGGACGAGACCACGCTCTACAGCCTTTTTTTGCACTCGTTCTGACAATCTTTGCTTGAGTTGACTCCTGGACCCAAAGTTAGCGCCGGTTGAACTATTTAGACCGTCCTGGGCAGTTCAGGCCATCCACTCTCACTGATCCTTTCATCTTTTCGCTGCATACTTATTTAATCATCCCGAACGAATGATGTTTGGCCTCATCTTGCAGATAATGACAGAAGCTTGAAACAACATTTATTTGAAGAAAAATAAAATGAAATGAAATGAAATAATAATCACGAAACTGCCCATCCACACACATAGCGCACAGAGGCTATCCTCGTATTCTGTTGGTTCATTCATTGCGTTGGGCTTCGATCAAGATTAGCTGTCCTAATATGGGATTGCCACTGGGATGATTCGTCAGCACGAGGCCTTCGGCGAATGTTCACCGACAGAGCTTTTTGTTCATCGACAACCCCTTGGGATCAACCACAGCTGTAATTTTGTGAATGGATAAACAATTACGTATCATCAAATGATAAGGAGTGCATCCAGGCCAACACTGAACACATACACGGTTTGAATCCCAGAACAGACGCTTCGACTGTGGCGGTGTGGTCCCGGCGGGGAAGCCATTATTTCGTAAACGGATCCCGCGACAGGTTGAGGCACCCTCCAACAAACTTGTCCCGAATACTCCATACACAACAACCCTTTCCATGGTGTGCGCAACATCTAAGGCGCACAAAGGACCCAATTTCCGGTCCTCCGTTGGTCTTTGTCGGTTATCATGACCGATCAGTTTGCTTTCTCCTACCCTTCGCCGCTGGAGGGCTACGAAAACCTGCCCCCTCTTCCTGAGTATGTGTAGGACAGCAAGTGCAAGTGCTATATCTGCAGCCACCTTATCACAAGCCATTTTCTGATACCTGGGCCAGGGCCAAAAACGAAGATGGCAAGTCATTCAAGAATCCGCAGCATGGGATCTTGAGCAAGGCATACGAGGAATTCCCAGACCCGCTCGAGAAGGGTCGTCGTGGTGGCTTTGATATTCACATATATCATTACCAGGTTGGTCTGTTGGTGTTTACTAGATGTTAACAACATGCGCTGAAACCAAAAGGGGAAAAATACTCCAGAACAATCCTGACCAAGTCGTATTTGCCAAAGCGCTTTGGGAACGGATCCGCCGCGAATGTAACGAGAATCATTTCCCTCTCCTCCAGCTGCTCATCTCCTCTATTTATGAGTTTCTTTCTTTCCAGGCCGGGCTAGACTACAGGAAGAATAAAATAAGGACCTGGCATCACTCACTACTACTCTATCTTCTTTGAGCTTCTGATTTACTTCGACCCACTTTGAATTACACCAGTAAAAATAAAAGGTTGACTGGCATCTAGTTCCCGAACTTCGTATATACACATTCTTCGACTGCCCCGTTGGCCCACATACAGTCGCGATGTTCGAAGTCAACATATTTACTCCAGCTCAGTTTGGCGCTTTCGTCCCGTGGCTGGTCATTAATCGCGGTCCATTGAGCGTCCTACTCCATCCAAATACAGGAGATGAGCTGGAGGAGGAACGAAACCATACACAGCGCGCCACATGGATGGGCGAGCGCATACCCCTGGACCTGCGCGTGTTCAATCTCATACGCATGAAGCAGGGGTCTTGAGAAAGAAAGAAAAAATTTCGTTTGGCGCTGCTTTTTTAATTTTGCTACCTTTTTTCTGGATGGTGACTGTACCATACTGGGTTTGTCTGTAAGCGGGGGGATGAAGCGTTGTCTCTCCTTGCGCTAGCTTTCTTTGAAGTATCGTCAGTATATATGAACGGACAATGCGAGTAACCGACGTTCACTTTCATACAGACAGCAAAAAAAGACCCATGAGAAGTGTGGGTAAGCAAGTGTTACACTGAGCACGAAGTTCTTGGTTTAGATCTGGAGAGGGGTTGGAATGGGTTACACTACATACCATATATTCTGCAAACTTGCAGTGTGATACAGTTCTTTTCTTCTTCTCTTCTTCTCTTCTTCTCTTCTTTTACCGCTCCTTTTTCGCCGTGTATACTGAGCTGAGCGATTATTTTTACGAGGTTGCTGATGTTACATAGCATTCCCTTTCTATTGGCTTTTTTGAATTTTCTTCAGCTCCTTTTTGAAGCCACCACAGGATGTCAAACCGCCCTTTTCATATAGGTGAGTGACTTGTTCAGAAACATACATTTTATACATATCAACATATGTACCCATGTATGTCTGTACACGTAGTACGATGAGCCATTTTGTGCATGCAGGTATGCATATGGTTCTTTCTTGGGATAGCCCCGCTGCTTGAAAAAGGCCTCCCCCCACAATCCCCCACAATTGCTCTTGAATTGCGGTGAACACCCCATACATAGAATGTGAGTAACCAGCGTGATACATATGGGGATTTATTACCTGAGGCTTGCTTGCTTTCTCTGGAGCTGGTTGAACTTTGAACTTCTTCCTTGCGCTTTTCTATGTTCCTTAATGGTCGCTTTATACCCCAGATTTGCCCGACATGGAAGTTAGTCTATTGGACGAAGGAGGAGTAGATTGAATGGATGTATATTTTGTAAAATTTCAATATCATCAATATATATCGCCTATGACTCTTTGATTCTGTATTTCGTACATAGCTAGGTATGTATGAGCTAACTATGATATATCTCCTCTACGTATCTTAAATACCTGGGTATATACATGGATGTATGGACAGATATGCTCAGGTGTATTCCATCTTTCCTCCGTAGTTTATCCTGTAGTGAGCTGTACCCTGCAGGTGAATAGGGATATATAGTCCATACTTACATACATTTTAAACTGGAAAAACCGACTCCGTGAATTACCATATAGCAGACCACATCACGCTGAACTCTATGCTCAGACAGGATATGACAACAGCTCAGGCCTACCATACTCATCATGTGCTTCGACAAAAAGAGTCAGCTGCAGCCCCATGGATGCTCCCCTCCTTTCTCCTGTATGGTGAAGGCAGGGAAACAGCTGGCGTTCTGTGATAGTTTCGGCGCTGTTGACCATTTCTGGTTTGGTTTTCTTTTACTTGTTCCTGTTTTAAAATTTCACATATCGCATAACCAATTAGCCTATAAAGTTTTGGGTTTGCTCTTTTCCAAGGGAACCGGGAGGGGTACTAAAATCCTCGAGTCAAATAATCGGTTAGGAATTTGGTTGGTGAACCTTTGGAGTGGGTTTTTTGGGTCAGGGGATCAGCAGCTTACTACAGGTTAGTTTGTCAACAGGTCAAAGAGCTGCTTGTGACGATGATATATGACCATATGGCTGAAGGGAATATGTATTTGAAAAAGATATGATGACTTTTATCTCTCCTAAAAATCATTCATGAATTGGATTTTTTTTATTCACTAATTTATGGAATATAAAACCATTGTGCAAGAAACTTGTGGACCGCTTTAGTTTATTTATATAGTTCGGCTGTTTCAGGACAGCATAAACATTTCTAACTTGGCCTGGGACAAGACTTGTATCATTATACAGTTACCAAAAAAAAAAAAAGGGCCCCGCATTAGTTATTTCATATCCTCGACTCCGTACTCATATACATCATCCTCTGGTATCCAGGTAGTTACCGCTATTACCCATCGTTAAAAAGGGGTCAGCGAAGTGTAGCAGTCAGCGTAACAGTAACATGGGACCACGAGATCTCACAGAAATCAAAGTCTTCCTCCATGAGCAGAAAAGAACTGGATGAATGATCTTTCCGTCGCCTAATTCCAAGTAATCCCATGCAAGTGTGACCAAATATAATAAGCAGTTGGCTCATTCCTTCTCCCTTATCTTTTACTAACATAACACACTACTCAATTCGATCGCTTCTGTTTTGATGTTTCTAGGAGTTCTTGTCGTCACATAATTCTTTGTCGTATCAGGAGCGACGAACCGAATGCTCTCTTGATTGAGTTCGTAAGTACTGGAACCAGCTATTTGTTGTGTCTTTCGTCCTTTCTGGGGAAATCGGGGGAAAGTGAGAACAGCAGTGGAAGTGAGAGGAGAGAAATTCGAGACAAAGGGATAACTAAATATAGCAGAACCACGTTCGGTAGGTATTCGTGGGGTAGGTTTGAGACGAAGAAGAAAAGAATCAAGCACGACGAATCGGAAACCAAACAAGCCAGAGAAGATGTCGTACCGGATCTTCTTGACGTCTGCAACCTTGCTCCTGGTTCGGGGCCTCGGGAGGGTCCCGTTGGTCAATGCTGTTCTCGAAGCTAACAGCTGTCCGACGGATTGGACTACCGTTCCCGAGTTTGTGCTTAAATATGGTATGTAAATAGAACTATCTTTTGGCACTGCTGTTCGCGTTTGTTCATGCATGTATTCATTCACTCATTCATTCATTTTTTTTGAAGAAAATTAAATTGAAATAGGAGCAAAAGCCATGAACGGAGTATGAATATTTATCTACTGCTAATATAACATATCACCGTAACGATGTAGCACCCTTGATATATATTCACAGCGAAGAGTCATACATGCCATCCAACTTTGAGACGCTGGTTGCAAACTGCATACCCACAGTCAACTATACACCAATCGTAGGAGCGCCTTCGCCCTTAACGCTCGAAAACCTTGATTTGCTGAACAACTTAGGAGGGAAAAATGTCTTCCTCACTACGAAAGAGGGAATCAGGGCTCTTCCGGAGTGGTTTAAAGGCACAAGGCCCAATAAGGCCGGTCAGACTGAGGACGCTGTTAGCTCCGTTGTCGTCTTGAGAGAGCATGGTGATGGGAAGACGGTTGATGTGTTTTATTTCTACTATTATGCGTAAGGTGCCTCCTGTCCGTTTCTATGTAACCGTAGTCTGCTTTCGTGTGGGTATTGACGATGACAGGTATAACCAAGGAAACACGGTGTTCGGGACCCAACTTGGTAACCACGTCGGTGACTGGTAAGTGTTTTTGAGGTGATGGGCGTGAATTTTGGGAAAGGAGAACGTGTCATGACTGAAGACATACTTTCTTGTTAGGGAGCACAACATGATTCGCTTTGTGAATGAACAGCCGCAGTCAATCTGGTATAGCCAGCATGCTGCCGGCCAGGCATTTACCTATGAGGCGACCGAAAAACAAGGTTTCCGTCCCATTGGATATAGCTCAAATGGATCTCATGCTGTTTATGCAACTCCGGGGTAAGTAACTTCATGCTTTGTCCTCATGAACATAAATGGGAGAGCGATAGGAATATTTCCATCTCCCCCTGTGTCTGTTTTTTCCAATCCTTTAACCAAAAGATGAAAAAGAATGTATAGGATGGGGAAAAAACAGACACTGACAAAGCTCACCGTATACCTAGAACCCACGACCACACCATCCCAGGTTGGAACCTGCCCGGTGGCCTCCTAGAGGACGAAACAGACAAGGGAGTCCTCTGGGATCCGCTGCTGAGCTCGTTTATATACAATTATAACAACGAGACGGAGAGGTTCTCGCCGTACGACACAGAAACGCCAACCAGCTACCTCTATTTCGACGGACGGTGGGGGGACCAGCAACTTCCTGATGATGCGGAGGGGCAGGTTGTTTTCTTTGGACAACGCAAGTATGCGTCTGCGCCTGATGGGCCAAAGTTTAAGCGGTTGGATCGGGAGAATGTTTGTGGGTCTGATGGGTTGTGTGTTATTTGGGAGGAGTTGGGCGTTTAGTGTGGGGTGTTTAACTAGAAGGGAGAAAGAGGTGAGGGCTCCTAGATATTGTATAATATATGGCTAACGGGAAGGGGAGGGAGGAGGATGATGTTGGGTCCGATTTTACGCTTTCATGTATGTAATATGTAATATATAATAGATAATATGTTTGTTCGGTTGGTTGGCTGGGTTTATGTGAGATGGGTGAGTGATATTAATTGTGATAAATAGGTATTTTCGGCTATATGAATTTAAGGACATGGTCGTAATGACGACGATGGCGATGAAGGTGATATCAAGATACCATGATTATCTTCAATGGACCATATTTGTCGCCGATCTCTAATCTATCAACTTCATTCATGCCCAGATGCCGGGCAATAGATAACTGTCGGGCATGTTATTTTGTTCCTTTCAAAGCTGCCCAATATCTTCCAGATAGTGGTTGCGCGCATACCGTTGGATGGTTCCTTCGGTCACTCCGGCTCCTCCAGTCACTCCAGGAACAACTCTGCTTCTGCGGTTTTGAGTGGCTGAGTGCGCAATGGGTTACTGGTGTCCAATATGGATATGGGGATGCATTTTCTCCACTCGAAATTAGGACCAGGAATGGAATGGAGCCAGATATCTGTCATGTCAACGATTGTCAATAGTGATGGTCCATGATAGAATTGCCGGGAAAAAAAATTATCGGAGAGTTTTTGTCGCTTGTTGTGGTGACAATAGTTAAACGCTCACCTGGTTCCGTGAGTAACTTGATAGGTCCCAAGGTTGTGTTGCGTACAGAAAGACGCACAGCGTTGTACGTGTATCTACTTTGCCGAGATTCTTCAGCATACAGAGCAAAAGTATTTCCCCGTTGTTTTTGAGATGGGGATCCGATATTTTTTATATTGGGGTTCTCTCTTGAAACATCCATTCATTTTTCCAACCATCCAACATGAGACAGTGTGGGAAGATCATTAACTAACCCAGCCCAAGCGGGGCCCCACCACCCCTAAAACAAAAAGAAGTCTAGAAAAGGAGAGTTCGAAACGCGCAAGCGTCCTCTGCAAATGAGAAACGGTAAGACAGGTAATCAAAAATGTTACAGTACCGCGGTACTGTTTGTGCTCATCCATGGATGCTTGTGTTTCTGTCCCTGGAGTCCCATGTATCTCCGACTCCTCATACCGAAACTTACCAAACAAACTGAATAAGATTATGCTGGAAACTTCAGGGCAAGTTCCCTTTGGCCAATTGGGTTGGGCCCACCAAAGCTCAAATGAGGGCTCCACCCATCCACTCCACTATAACGGATCCGACCTTGAAAACAACATTTTTCCATTGTTCTTTTCCTTCAATTGGGTGGAGATCCAACTGGAGTCTGGAGATTAAAGTGAATTATAAGTTATGGCCTTTTGGTTGTCTGTGGGCTTCTGCGGGGGGCACAGTGGGTGCAGTATAACTGTATATGAGCTGTGCAGGGGGTGAATGGGGATGGAATAGGGGGCAACTGATTTTCTCCGTAATCCATCATGAAAGATTGTACTGCCCCAGGGGGCCGTCGACTGTCGACCGTCGACTGGGAGTTCAACTTTGACGGTCTGTTGCACACGTGCTCCGGCCAATTCTAAGTTGAACCAACCCACAAGGGGTCAAAGATGCTGTGTAATGTCCATATACGGATAGTTCTGAACATAAAATAAATACTCCGTGTGGAGAGATAATATGTCCATCATGTTTATCATGTTCTATCCCATGGATTGAGACAAGGGTAATTTATTGAACCCGATGAAAAGAACCATGGTAAGGGAAAGACAGAAACAAGACGACTGTCAGGTAATAGTTTTTCAGCGTAATTTTCATGACAGGTTTCCTCGAGGGTACCCCACGATCTTGGAAATGGGTTGTTTAGCCTGTTACATCTCTTACGCCAGGTTGTGGAGGACGAGGAAGAGGAGGAAAAGGAAAAAAAAAAAAAAGGCGCATGCTTTGAAGGGGATCTCCGGCGTTGGGCACGGCGTGGCGTATCGAGACGGTATGCAAGTTACGGGGTATCCGGATTACGCTGTTTTACGCTTTTACCCCTGAATCCTGAAATGTCCCCAGCGCCAAATTTCAGCTTCCAGAAGGTCTCCGCAGAAACCCTGGAAAGGGGGAAATAACGGGGAGAAGAGATGGGTAAAACGAATGGGGGATGGGGGAGGCTTTTATGTCATGTATCTTTTGATATCATCATTAACACATTATTTTTGTTCTATTCCCAAGGCTGTGTGTGTGGTAGGGCAGTTTCGCTTGAGAGACTGATATTATCAGCGGAGAACGAGGAAGATATTTTAATAAATATCCCAAACATAAAATAAATAAAATTAAAAATAAAATAAAATAAAATAAAATAGCAAACAAAAATGTAAAGATAACCAAAGAATTATCCAAATCGCCGAACGCTGGTAATTTTGGCGGTTTGCTTCATCCCTCTGTCAATTTTCTCATCTCTAATCTCTCATTTTCTTCCTCACCTCCTTGGCTCTTCATCTTTATCGTCGTCTTCTCTCCCTTTTCTCTCCTTCTCCTCTCTCTTTGTTGTACTCTCTTCGAAACAATCTCCCGCCTTTCCTTTCAATCCTACGTCTTGTATTCACCAAGTCCTGGGAGAAGGTAACTAGTTCGGTTGAGTCACTGGTGTTGTTGGTCTGCTGTGGCTTAAGGGGCTCTTCATACGTCTCCACCTCATCCTCCTCCAACCTCCAACCTCCAACCTCCACCCTCCAACCTACAACTCCAGCTTCAACCTGGACTCGAACGCAGCTCAACTCGACTAGACTTACCTCGATTCATCTCAATCGACTCTCTCTGTCCCCTCATTCATTTCGTTGTTCACTTCGATCCCTCATTTGGTATACTCGTAGCTGATCCGCTGTCTCGCCCAGCCGAGTAACCAGGAACGGTCGACACTTAGAGCCCCGGAGCTTTTCTTGTTTGTTATTCTTCTCTTTCTCCTTCTACTTCTACTTCTTCTTCTCTCTTTTTTCCTCCCCCCCCTTGGTTAAGGCTGGTCTACCTTTCGACAAATTGCTTGCTGGCTTTGTGGATGTCGTCGCCTTACACCCCTCTAGCACGTATCCCAATAATACCCTAAGTCTATCGTGTTGACTGTCCGCTTTTGCTCTCGCCGCGTTTCTACCGACTAACTTAGTCGTTACGTAACCACCCCCAATTTCGGAACTACAAATTGCACCCCTGCATTTTGTTACGAAGCGCATCGCATCTCCTGTCGCGTCCACAAACGGTTCTGGCTATCCTATTCCATTTTCAATAACAGATATCGGACCGAGTACTGGGAAAATTCCCCAGCACTCCCAGCATCTTCCCTCATACACTCGAGGTTGATAATTAGTTATTTTAATATTCCATTTCTCAACTGCTTGTTCTCACTCAACTACTGATCACATCTACCACCAACCAAAAGAGAAACCAAAGTATCTTGAAAAGGGTACCTGAGGATTTCTGTTTTATTTGACAAGACATTTAAATCGACCTCTGAAGGAAAACATTAAATACTGCTGGTACGTTTTTAATCTATTTGCATCAGCATGCAGTGCATCATAATCATTGGAGACATATTTCTTAACCCTTGTGTATACTCTACGTATCATTGGGTTGCGAAGGTCAAACCAAACATAAGCCAGTGCCTCCTTTTTTTTTTTTTTGAAACATTTGACTTTGACAACTCACTTGTCCGCTTCCTTTCTTCTTTCTTTTTTCTCGTCTTCCTTCGTGCTATTTCTTATTTTTTTATTTATTTTATTTTATTTTTCTTATCGAAATTTTTTACCCCTGAAAGCTTGTATTGGCTGCAAAACTGACGGTATATTTCCATGTTCAGTGGATACTATTTACATTGGTACAAAACCCGAATAAATCCAACAATGTCTAGTCCAGCACGGCCTCCAACCCCTGAGCGCGATTCACCCCCTGAAGCTCTTCCAACTGTTATAGAGAATGGCAACTCCAATCTCAACTCCCAAACCGCTAGACGAACGTCATTGGCATTCCTCCGTCGTTCAAAATCCACTGAACCTCTAGCTGGGGATGGCAAAGCTTCAGGAGGAAAAATGAGTAAACGGCAGAAAGAACTGGCTAGGGAAGAACATTTGCGAAGACAGCGCGAAGCTGCTGCGGTCCCGAAACACGCTCCCCGTCTCCCAGACTTGCCTTCACCTCCCCAGCTCAATACCTTTGGTGGTGAAAATGCTCGACAAGATAACTCTCGCATTGCGTTGAGGTCTGTTGGTAGTTACATCAATCCAAATGCGCCAGCATCCCTGCAACCTGGCTCTGCGGGAGCAAGAGAAAACGAGTATGTTGACCCATACGCAAGAACAGAGAGCATGACGCACCGGGGTAGATACAGTTATGCGAGCAGCGCGGTCAGTACTATCAACAGCCCTCGAAGAGTGAGAAGACGTAAAGACCCAACTCCCTACAAGTAAGTATCCATTTTCTCTGACACTCTTGAAACTATATCATGAAATCCGCCCTCTAAAACCACTCCCCGTTAATAGCATCCTCGTTATTGGTGCCCGTAACTCGGGGAAAACATCCTTTCTCAATTTTCTGCGTACCTCGCTTCAACTGCCACCGAAGAAACGCCCCACGCGATCTCCAGATGAATTCGATGAACCCACGCAAGTGTCATCAGCCAACAACACTTTCACCTCACATTATCTGGAAACCGAAATTGACGGGGAGCGCGTGGGCCTGACGCTATGGGACTCACAGGGCCTAGAATCAAATGTGGTTGATCTGCAGCTTCGTGGCATTACGAGCTTCTTAGAAAGTAAATTCGAAGACACCTTAAACGAAGAGATGAAAGTAATTCGCGCACCTGGCGTGCGCGACACTCACATTCACTGCGCATTCTTGATCCTCGACCCTGCCCGGCTTGATGCCAATATTGCTGCTGCCCAAAAGGCCGCGAACGAGCCGGATAAGCTTTCAAGAATCCAAATTATTGGAGGACTAGATGAAAATCTTGACATCCAGGTCATCCGCACCATGCAGGGGATGACCACCGTCGTTCCAATAATTAGCAAGGCAGATAGTATCACCACGGCCCACATGGCTTTTCTCAAAAAGACTGTATGGGAAAGCCTGAAGAAGGCCGGCGTTGATCCTCTGGAGGTTCTCGCACTTGACGACCAGGATGACCTATCTTCATCCGACAGTTTCGGTAAATTCGACGAGCATGATGAGGACGAGATGAATGAGAAGGGAGAAGCAGAAACCGAAGCTAACGCCACCGTTACAACAACTGGCCGACGCACTCCGGACTCAGAGACTGTGCCCCTTCCCATTCCCATCTCCAGCTCCACACCCCGATCGCCCCCCTCCCTTCGAACTGATAATAAAGGAACTCGAACATCCTCTCCACCCATCTCAAGCCTCAATGCCACTACAAACCCCAATTTAACCCCAGACTACCCCTTTCTTCCCCTCTCCATCCTCTCACCTGATCCCCATTCTCCAGAAGGTAACGATGGGCCTATCGGTCGCAGATTCCCGTGGGGCTTTGCGGATCCGTATAATCCGGACCACTGCGACTTTGTCAAGCTTAAGGAGACGGTGTTTGGGGAGTGGAGGGCGGAGCTTCGTGAGGCTAGTCGGGAGGTTTGGTATGAGAGGTGGAGGACTAGTCGGTTAAATAATAAAGGCTTTGACGCTGGTGGGAGGAAGAATGGAATTAGTGGCGGTTCTGCGAGGGGAGGAAGGGCGATGAGATGAGTTGAGAGTTGAGAGCTGAGAGTTGGCGTGCTTTGTTTTAAATTCGATTGGTGGATGTTTCGATGGTGGTTTCTGTGTTGAGGGGAGTTGGTTTGTTCTGAGTAAGGTGACTTACACAGGAAAGAAGAAAAATATATACGAAAATATGGTGATAAGTTGATGGTGGTTGGGGTTGGTGATGAACATCATTCTGTAGCTGTGTGGACCATCTACGAACCAACTCTGTGTGGTGATTGATACTCCCCGTTTATCTTTCTCATGTCTGCTGTGACTTTCTCCATTCTGTTACATCCTATTCTTTGCAAACAAAGTATATCCCCTTCCCCTGATCTTTTGCATTCTTTTTTGATTTTTTTCCCCTGTCTTCATTTCGTCTCTTGTCTTATTCCCTCTCATGGTTACTCCTCAAGGTGGGCATGTTTCTTTTCTTCTCTTTTCTTATTAACTTCGTTGATCAGGGCTGTACGTTTCCACATGAATTTCCCTCTCATCCATTTCCCATTCTCCGTTTGTGTCAGTCCGCTCAAATGGTGCTGGTTCCAGTGGCCCTCCTTTCCTCTCCATATCCGCCATACCAGGCAGGCATCTTGGGCTCCTAATCTCGAAGACATCTGTCCCACCAGACCTAACCCGTTACCCAACTAATTCAATACCCCTTTTTACTCATCCAACCAGATTTCCTAACTTAATTTAGTTTTTCAATTTTCGTCTTCTATGTCTGTCCGTCATTATTGTTTTGCTGTCAAAGTTTCTATCACTTATCACTTGATACTTCTGAACCATTTTAATAACTTTGGAATTCAATATTCCCCTCCCCCATTGCCTTAAATCGCCTTAAACCTCCTTAAACCTTGCCTTGGACTGCTTCTTGCCACCTTGAAATAAAAGAGAGAAAAATAAACTCAGATACGGCGTTGACTTCGCTGCTATTGCTATTTCTCGCCTTTCCCGTTACCCTCTCCTTTCTCCCTCCTCTCCTATTCTTTTCTTCGTTGTTTTTGATATCAAAATATAACCGTTATTTATCAAGCTTCCATTCCATTCTTCCTCATTTCATCTTCTCAAACGAAGTGGGAGTTTTTCGTTTTGTGCTTGCTCCCTTCCACTCTCCTGACGTTCCTTGCCTTAATCCAACTTCTCTTGACCATAACCTCTCTGCAGCTGCCATCTCCCTGCTAGTGCAATTATAAAAATAATGGTAATAATAATTTAACATACCCTACATATATTCAGATCCCAATGATATATAATTTTATTTTATTTTATTTTTATTCCTTTTGGATGTGATTGTTGGTTTAATCCAAGTCCAGTTTAACTCGTGTTTCACAAATTTAGGCGATGTCCATTATACCGCAGGTATCTGCGCAGGATCTTCTTTCAGAGAGCATTGACTGCCCTTTAACGGATTGATTATCCGCAAACCTCGAGCCAGCCCATCATTTCCTTATAGGGTATACAGGTTGGGCGCTATTATCCAGTAGAAGCCATGGGTTAGTACTGGACATCATATTTGCGAGGATTCAAGCAGGATTCTGGAGACGTTCCGAACATATCCACTTTCCGTCCTCAGGGTAATTAATGCCTTGACATGTTAAAAAGAATCTTCTTCAACTCACAAAATGATGGCATCTGCATTTGTCAGACCCATAATCGCTATCCCAGCATGTCGCGGAATTCTGTTTGAGCGAGAGTCTCCAGTTAGCTTCCTAGTTTAGTAATTCATTTTATCAACATACGATATAAATAAGTGTATACATGGGGAAGAATTGGGGAAGCGGATGACATTTTGAGAAAGGCATAAGGAGACATATAGAGAAAGGCGAAGTGAAAAGGAAATAATGGAATTTTGCAACATTGGTAGCAGGAAGCATAGCGTCTCGCACAACGCGGGATGTGGGCAGCGTTACCACTGCGCTGGCGAGGCCTGCGAGCATCATGTAGAGTGTGAAGACGAGTTTTCATGTTTTGCTTTGGTCCGATTTGGTTGATAGGATAGCTTGTTGTAGATGGGTATGTGACTGCATCAGTCCATTCTTGATTTGAGGTACGGGAGGCAAACTTGAACTGATATCTTTATTAGTTCCGATATCGAAGGATTGATAAAGGGGGAAGAAGGCTTGCAGATAAGAAACAGTTAATTTTAGCATGTATAGAATTTCAGAGTGTAAAATTCTGGGTAGTCGGTTGGATTAAGTAACTGCTGGATAGTTGAAATGCTAGCCATGCATATGTTGATACTGTGAGTAGAGTCGGTAAATCGTTGTTGGACTCTCTTCTCATATGTCATGATCGAAGACTTATGTCGGAAATCAAATGTCGCAGTTGGCTCAAGCATGCACTACTTTCATCAGGTACATGTGCATGCATGGAAATTAATCAATGGGGTAAATATGGCTGCTCTTGAAGAACCAGCATCCCCTCTCACACAATATGTCAGGGCATTAAATCCGCAGCAAATAATTGTGAAGGAAATGGTCGTGGGTCCCTGTTGGATTGGATTGTAGTCTCAACGTCGATTATTCACTGCTAACATTGGACAGGACGACTCCGAAGGTGAGAGGAGCCGTCCGGCTCTATGCATCCATCCAGTTGTTAAAGCATGTCCTCATCGCGAATCGATTGGCAGTTGTTCCACCTGAAGTACCAGCTCTTGCTTCGTGCCTTGCTTCTCCTTAAGAATGGAGTTTGTTAGCCATTAACGGAACGACGCATGGTGACATGTAAAACGTGCATATGATGACCTATAATGACCTGCCAAAAGTCGGGAGGATATGTATGACAGCTAAAACCATTGATCGTTGAGAACATGAGAATAAGAGGATCAAGTCAGAAGAAAACTTGGAAAGAAAGGCAACATGAGACAATAAAATTCGACCGTCTGTTGCGTGCGAGTGTGTATCTAAAATGGATATACAAATATTAACGAAGTTGAGGTGCTGGATCAACTCCTTTATTCCTTGACGCACAAGGAACCTCCATGAATCCTGCAGCACACGTCCCAACCCATTTTGTCGAATTGAAAGTCGAACATGTCTTTCCCCTGGATTTCCCAAGGCCTTTGGACATATCCGCGACGGGCATCTTGGGTTCTTTGTCCATGCTGAATTCCGAGTTCATTCAAGGCTTCGCATTTCAGTTGTAATTTGGACGCAGATCCCTGGTCGATCCCCAAGGACCAGTTTTGTAAATCTACCAATCTCTCTTAAAAACCTTTCAATAATTTAGCACCTTGGACCACTCTGATGTGGACGTACTGTTGCAATGGAGAAAGAATAACTACGCCAGCCATCCACAAAACCTGAAGAAAGAAAGCAAAGATTCCGATGCACAATGCCTGAGCTCCAGAGGCAAGGGGAAACAAAGCTTTAAAGAAACCAGTGAAAAGCCTTGGTCACGATGCCACCACATACATACATATCACATAGACCAACGCGTCAATACGCCCATATATCCCGAACCTGACTCCCATCACCAAACTGCAGCGGTAAATTCAAGCACCAAGCACGCGGAAATTCCATATCCCATTTCTTCATAAGATCTCTCAACTCCTCTTCCCGCCCAGGAACCACATTAACAAAGATTCGGTCCCCATGGCACCGGGGTTCCGAATGAACAGCCCCTTCATCATCCCCGACACGGAAAAATGTGCACTCGCCCGGCGCTGCCTGTATAAACCCATGATCTCGAAATTCATCAGCCAAACGCTGACGGACTGTTTCCGCCGCTGTGGCGCACCCCACACATCTCACAGGTGAACATATATGTCCTTTACTTTCGTCGCGAATGGATTGTTTTATTTGCTTGTAAATAGGTCTCGCGCGGGTTGTTGAAGTAAGGAAGAGCGTGCCAGGACCAAGGATGGTCGTGGCTAATTTCCATTTCGTTTCGTCTGCCTGATTGGTGGGGCTGGAACCACCCTTGCTGTAAAAGAGGTCATCAGTATGCCATCGTGGCATGTCAAATTCGTGAGTGCCTTGAGAAGCTTTGATAGTGATCCAGTAGTGAGAGAGGTGGTTTTTGAGGAGGAATTCGTGGACGAAGTTGAGGAACGGGATAAGGTGAGGGAGAGGGGAGCCAACAACTGTTTGCTCTGCCCAAGTGTAGAATGAGGGTGGGAGAGTCTGGTTTGGCAGATTGAGGAGAGGTCCGCAGTAGGTCCAGGACGAGGAGAGTTTGAGGAGGAGGGCATCCAGAGGAGCGTTTTCGGATGACGGTATGTATGGTATCACTTTGAATGCTGGGAGTGATTCAACGTTCATGGCTGTTTCGTTAGCGAGTCAATACGTTAACTAATTAGTTATGGGAATAATTATGTTATCCTCTCTCCAAATCAACTAGTTTGAATACAATGCTTGTGTGAGATGCTGAGCTTTCTTGCTGATAAAACCTCTGGCGATAGATTATTGTTGGAAGAATGGAGGCTGGCGAAGAGGACGAAGTTGATATTTAGTACTCTCACTGAGCAAGCTAGTGGCAGGGATTCCCTTCAAGGATCACCCACTCTCGCGAGCGAAGATCTCACCTGTAACTTATAGTTATGCCGCAAGTCTGTTTATGTTCCGAATCACAGTAGCTCGAGCTAAAGTTGTTGGCAAAGTCCCACCGATTATTCGGCGTGTTGCCTACCGAAGTTGTCGTCTGGCCCTAGGCCGTGACGTTAGTGGTTGTTCAACACCAGAGGGCAGCTAACCCTTGAACACTAGCATTTTACCCTTCATGAGGGATATGATGGCGAGCACTTATAGCGGAGTTATCAAAACATGTTCTTCAGCATGATATGGGAAAGCGAACAGGTGAACCACAAAAGTGTTGTTTTGGGAATTGGTTTGGATAAGATTAAGCTTAAATCTGTCTGCTCTATTTGGACTGGTGGATAATGAATGGGCTTCCAAGTTTCTCAGATCCGCAAGAAAGCAAGTAGTTAATCAGCTTTTGATACCAATGTACGAATGCATGTTTTGCCTCCCTTGAATCACAATATTCCCAATGTGTTTAATGAC